ACTTCGCATACACATTATTATGCACGTCATAATATGCATACACGTCATTCAGTAGATCAGTTATTTTTCTAGAAGTTATAGGAGATAACAGTTGTTATTTCGTTTCTATTCATACTGTCAAATTTTTTTGTTTGGAAAGGGTCTGATTTCCTTCTTCATTGATTTTGAATTTCGTAAAACATTTCTTGATTGGATGCTGATAAATAATGTAAACTTTATTTCAGAATCCATGAATTAGCTGTAGTGTATTCCATGTTGATTTTTTTATCCGCTGTGGATACTGTAGGTAATTCAAAGCTAATAACTGAACGCACAAATTGAACAATAGTAGTGAGGTTAGAACAAGCCCGTCAATCAATGAATTTGTATGGTTAGGGCTAATCGCACTGATTTGCACGGCGATGTACCTCACAAGTGTCTACTTAATTAATCTTCAATGATTCTTCGTGTCTACAATTCTGACTGATAACGATGAAAAGGGAATCAACTCCGGTAAGAAACGACTACCAGAACCGAGAAAGGCAGCAGATACAGAAAGTACTAACTCTCGACATGAGGAGTTGATACGAGAAGTAGTGACTACGCTCTTCTAGGCTAGCTGTCAGATCAGTACAGTGTAAACCAGTTGAAGGGAATGGTATAAAAAAGGCAAGACTGGTGCCAGCAGCCATGATATTTGCAGCTTTCGGAGTGCATATCATCACTACTGCAGTTCGTACTTGGATCTACATCTTTGGACTTGCTCCAATTTCACAATACGTGAACAGAGCAATGAGAAGAGCTTCAAGAAGTGATGTAGCAAAGGCACTTATTCTGTGCTGATCTCATGTGAAGCTCGACTCACTGTAAGTTCACAGTTCAACTTTAAACCGATTTTAAAGTAAAAAGCCTGTTATTGAATATTCATTTTATTCCTTTTATTTCAATTTTAGATGTAAAATTTTCGAAGGTTACATTTATCTTTTCTATTATTAACTTATTTCTCATAATTGGCAATTTTTAGTGCTTGAGAATTGCTCGAAAAACAGTTGGCTTAGAATGGAATGAAGAAAGCTGGTCGAATGTTATGCAACAGCTTGGAGTCGGATTCAAAAGATTTTTGGTAAGGAATTAATTTTTGAGTTTTCGTTATCTGTTCTTGAATGTAAGAGTTGTAGTTAGTACTTCT